AGCCAAGGTAGAGTAGAGGGAAGAAAAGGCTTGGGAAGAAAGAAGAAATCTTGGCTGAGGAATATCAGAGATTGGACTAACCTCAGTGTTGAACAGATATTTCAAGTTGCAAAAGATCGAGAAGCGTTTAAAGAAGTGATCGCCAACCTTCGTTAGAAGACGGCACAAGAAGAAGAAGAAGCAGCAAAGAACAGAGCCTGTGATGAAAGAGATTAAGTAGACAGTTGGCGGAAAATTCTAACGGTACACTCCTCGTAAGTTGCAATATTGATCTTCAACAAGTGCTTTTGGTACCAAATGACCCAACGAACAACGCTTTATTTTACAAGCAAAGATTAAAAGTATTTAACTTCACCATTTATAATACAGTCTCCAAACAGGGTGATTGCTTCATGTGGACAGAGGTTGAAGGAAAACGAGGGAGCTGTGAAATTGCCACTTGCTTATACCAATACTTTGAATCTTTGCCGGAACGATTAACTCAGGTTGAGTGTTTTAGTGATAGATGTGATGGATAAAATTTAAATAAAAACGTCGCTAGTATGTGCTTAACAACTGTTCAAAATACTCCACATTTTATCATCCCTACATATTAAATATCGGCGGTAGCGGGTAGACACTCTTTACGATCCCGGTAAAGACAGGTCTGCTGCAGGGATGCGCCCCTGCCCACGCGAGCTCGGCTTTTTCTCCCAATCCTCTTCCGGGGAGAAGCGGATCCTAATCCCTAAATCAGGATCCCAGCATTAATAAAAGAACCACTCTGAAAGTGATCCAAGTGTACGCTCCGACCAAAAGCCACGACGATGAAGAAGTAGAAATATTTTATGATGAAATAAGAACAGCTATAGAAACAAATAAAGCAAATTACGAAATACTATTAGGAGATTTTAATGCTAAATTGGGCAAAAGGAGGAAGATCATGAACATTTAATTGGTAACTATGGCTACGGGAAAAGAAACGATAGAGGAGAAATGCTCCTCAATTTCATGAATGAACATAACATGTACTCAATGAACTCCTTTTTTCAATAAAAAACCAAGCAGAAAATGGACATGGATGAGTCCCGATAAAAAGACAAAGAATGAAATAGGTTATATCTTAACGAAGAATAGAAACCTTGTAGAAGACGTATCAGTATTAAATCAGTTTGACCTAGGAAGCGATCATAGACTAATAAGAACAAAACTAGTAATTAACAAAAAACTAGAAAGAAAAAGAATACATGAAAAAAGATACAAATGGACATCTGAAGAAATCAAAAATAGTGAATTTAATAAAAAGATAGTGCATGCATTAAAACAAGTTAGCATGCAGCAGATAAACTCCAATGATATTGATGATTTGAACAACCTTATTACCGAAACAGTGAATAAAAGCCTTCTGCAACTGAAAAAACCGAAAACAACATACAATGAATTAGACAAAGAAATATTACAACAAATAGAAAGAAGGAAGATCTTAAATAAATCTAACAAAAGGGGAACCGACGAATATAGAGAACTTAATAGGCAGATTAGAAAAGGAATCAGACAACAAAAAAGAAAAGAAAACGAAAAATTAATAACAACAACTATTGAAAAAAATAAGAGTATGAAATGTCTTAGACCGACACTAGGACGACGTCAGATGATATCATTAATAAGAAAAGACGAAAATGAAATCACAACTAGAGAAAACATACTGACACGAATTGAACAATTTTACACAGAACTTTACAGATCACATCAACAAGATGATGAGATGAGACCAGCACGGAAATTAATAAAAAATGTTGGATCAGAAATAATGCCAAAAGTAACAATTTCAGAGGTAACTACAGCATTGGAAAACATGAAGAGAAATAAAGCTTCAGGAGAAGATAGTATTACCACAGATATGATATTAGAAGGAGGTAAGGAACTAATTGCAATTGTAACTAAACTTGTGAACAGTTGTTTACATCAGGGCAAAGCCCCTAAGAGCTGGAACAACTCTAAAGTAATCTTATTGCACAAGAAAGGTGATAGTCGAAAATTGGAAAACTACAGACCCATCAGCCTACTGTCACACCTGTTTAAAATACTCACCAAAGTCATAACTACTCGACTAACAAGGAAATTAGACGAATACCAACCATATGAACAGGCAGGTTTTAGAAAAGGCTATTCAACTTCCAATCACCTGTTAACCACAAAAATATTAATAGAAAAATGTAACGAATACAAGTTTCCAGTTTTCCTTGCATTTGTAGACTACGAAAAAGCTTTCGATACCATAGAGCACACGGCCGTAATAAACGCAATGCAAAATTATAGAATAGACAGCAGATATATTAACTTAATAAAAGAAACTATAACCCAAGCTACAGCTACATACTTCTTCTTCTTCTTCTTCTTCGTCTAGCCATTCACGTCCACATCTGAACATAAGCCTCTTCAAGTCTTCCTTTCCATTGGTTTTTATTGTAGCTACATACTACCTAAATGAAAATGAACACACGAACCCTGTACCATTAAACAGGGGAGTCAAACAGGGAGATACTTTATCACCCAAACTGTTCACCTTAGTTTTGGAGGACGTTTTTAAAAACCTAAATAATTGGAAATATAAGGGAATAAACATCAATGGCCGCTACCTCAGTAATCTACGATTTGCAGATGACATAATCCTGATAGCTACTGACCTACAAGAAATGCAAACCATGCTTGTAGAACTTCATACCGAATCTTCTAAAATAGGACTGAAAATGAATTTAAACAAAACAAAAGTCATGCACTCCGAAGACACCGTGACAATAATAAACGATAAAGTTATAGAAAAAGTTGAAGAATATATATACTTGGGACAAAAAATAATCCTAAATAGGGAAATTCAGACTGAAGAAATAAAAAGAAGAAGAAAGTTAGCTTGGGCAGCATTCGGTAAACTGAACTATATACTCAGAAATCAACAAATTCAATTACATCTTAGATCTAAAGTTTTTGATGCATGCATTATTCCGATATTAACTTATACGGCACAAACATGGACAATCACAAAAAAGAATATGAATATACTTATAGTCACTCAACACGCGATGGAAAGAGCACTGCTAGGTATATCACTTAAGGACAAGAAAACAAATACATGGATAAGACAGAAAACCAAAGTCACCGATGTGGTGCAAAAAGCATTAAAGCTGAAATGGGAATACGCTGGACATGTAGCTAGTAGCGATCTAAACAAATGGCACAGATCAATTTTAACCTGGAGACCATACCAACACAAAAGACCCAGAGGCAGACCTCCTATGAGATGGACAGATGATCTGAAAAGGACTGCCGGGAAAATTTGGCTACAATTAGCGTACAATAGCAAACAATGGAAAGGAAGACTTAAAGAGGCTTATGTTCAGATGTGGACGTGAATGGCTAGACGAAGACATATTAAATATCAGTGGTGAAATTATGCAATCCTGTCTCACTCCCTTTAATATTTTAACCTGATCTGTATTTAAAATTTGGAAGTTGAAAATTAAATCACCAAGGAGTCGGCGAGCTTCAAAAGTTGGTAACCCTGCTAAAGAAAGTCTTTGTGAGTAATCTGGCCTTCTTCGTTTGAAAGATAGTCTGGTGGCTTTCTTTTGGACATTTTCGAAAAGAGTTCTATCGCGCACTAATCCTTGGCACCAAACTGTTCCACAGTACTCATTAATGGTATATTGATAAAAAGTTATAAAATTATTTCACTTTAAATTTATAGCATTCTATAGCATTCTTGTAGCTGCGCTATCTATCGTAAAAAACAACATCATAGATAAATTTAATGTGTATATTAGCTGTTATTATGACAGGGAGACCCGCTGTCCCCATTACTATTTAACCTAGCATTGGAATACGCAATGCGAAAAATCTATACCAGAGTCAAATCAGACATAACTGCAAGAGGAGCAAAGATTATTCTCGCATTTGCAGATGATGTAGATGCAGTAGCACAGACAACACTGGAAGTTAAGGATATAGTATCGAACTTTGAAGAAGCAACACTAAGCGTAGGCCTGAAAATAAAGGAAGAAAAAACTAAATACATGGTCGTATTAAAAAAGGAACGACAGCGAATAAGACAAAACATTACCATAAACGATCATAATTTTGAGGTGGTCAAAGAATTCAAATACCTAGGAGCAACAATTACCAGTGAAAACACAGGAGAACGGGAGGTTGAAATACAAATACTGGCGGGGAATATCATTCTTTGCCATTCAACATCTAATGAGGTCAAAGCTTCTCTCAAGGCGTGCCAAAATCCAAATGTACAAAACCATAATACGACCAGCAGTGACATATGGAAGTGAAACATTGACATTGAGAAAGAAAGAAATCAATAAGCTATTAGTATGGGAACGCAAAATCCTGCGAATTATATATGGTCCTTGCAGGGACAGCGTGACAATTGAATGGACCAGCAGATACAACAATGAAATAGAGACTCTCTTCGAGACAGGAAACATCGTAAGATACATAAAAGCCAATAGATTAAGATGGGCAGGCCACGTGGTACGGAGTGATAACGACAGACTGATTAGCAATGTGTTTTGGGAAAGACCAGATGGTAAAAAGATCGACAGAAAGGCCTAGAAAAAGGTGGAATGACGCAGTCAGGGAAGACCTGGAGAAGATGGAAGTAAGGCCATGGGAAATAATAGCACAGGATCGGAATCAATGGAAGGCAATAGTAAACGCGGCAAAAACTCACGAAGAGTTGTAAAAGCCAATGATGATGATGATGATTAGCTGTTATTACTGTGAGACCAGTTCTAGCAAAAATTGGAAGATCTTTCTGTAGATCGCGATAGTAAAGTATACATCATTACATTATAGTAAATCACTGCTTAATCTACAGGCTGTAATACAAAACTTGTTAAAAAACATCCATGTTGTTCACTATTAACCAAGTAAGTCTTTATTCCTAAGAAGTTAAGAAGATATGCTTCAAAAGCAAAACAAAATAGCCACTCACAGCTCCTTTCATTTTTTTTTTAATTTATACCTACAGATAAAGCATAATTACATCTATTAAATTATCATACTAAAAGACACCTAAATTCAGTGCTAACAAATTGATACAATAAAAATTAAATGTTTTATTGGAAAATTAAACACTTACCAGTATAACTTCGTAGACCCGAAGGACTGGACCGAGGTCTACTACTACTCGTACTGCAATTGCTATTGGTACTTGTACTACTCGGACTCCTGCGCATTTCAGACTGAGACCTACTATTTCTTCTTCTCGTCCTCTTTTGCGTACTTCCAGACCGACACAACCCAGTAGGGCATTGTTCCCCTAAGGCACATTTTCCTTCACAAATCGAACGGGACTGTAACAGTTCTTCGTAATTATTGAGCATCAGAGCACACTGCTCTTGATCCCTATATACTAACGCCAGGCTAGGATACCTTTCTTTTAAACGTCTTCTTTCCTGAAAATATGAAAACCAATCAAAATGACTTGAGTACCAAGTTCATCTACATAAACACAAATAATCATTACAATGAATTGTTTATTAATTTGTAGGCACATGATTAAATTGCATTCAGAATTTGGCTACATGAATTATTGCTTAGGCATTTTTTAATCTAGAGAGTTACTGGCAAGAATTAGTGAAAACTGTCATATAATATTTTCTTTACACCGGTACTTAGGGTACGGTAATCTATGCAGCCGAGTCATGCAGCTATCGTAAATTATTACGCATGGTCGTTACAATACATGGTCTAGCTACCTTACTGAGGATCCAGGAAGTACTACAGTGTAATGAACTGTGCAATTTTTCAGCTTAACAATTACGTTTCTTTTAAATAATCTTAAAGCAGATCGTTATCTAATCTGGATATATCTCCTACGTCTTTATTCATGTTGCCTGATATACGCCTAGTTAGCGGTTTTCGACCTTTTATTAAGGTTATAATAATAAGGTGTAGACGATAGGAGAACACATTGTGTAGTCAAAATTATTTGAATAGGTCACATTCTCAGCACCTTCAACTGTTGTCACGTTTTGTTTTAAAATTTCTTATTCGCGAGTCGCTGAAAATATTACTCCTTATTTTATACCCTACAGGTGCTATCAAACCAAAATAATAATTTGTTGGTTAGATTAATATATTTAATTGTAATCAAAATATCAAGTGTGCACATAGTGTGCATTATCATTTAATAATAGCGTATATTAGATATCAATCAATGATTTTATATGTAGAAGCACTGAAAACTATTTATAAATGGCAACGGTTGTTTACAATTCTCTGTCTTATGGATCGACGTCAAACTTCAAATGCTGTTCCATGTTTGTTTACTTTTTACAGTAGTTGAGGAAAAGTTAATTTTTCGATATTTTGGCTGTATTTTGAGTGATATTTGTGAAAAGTGAAATAAAATAAACGAAATATTTACATCCCGATCTCTCATTTCATTTGTAAGTACATACAATTTACATTATTTAAGATGAGGAAATGAGGAAGCGTGTTTGTTTACATTTTAATAGGCGTACCATTGGGTTTATTCATGTTCGTTAATGTAGTGAATAAGATATAAGTTCATGAAATTAGTAGACATTTTTAAATTGTAAGTAGACATCATCTGATTAAAAAAGATCTGTTTAGTACCTTTTTAATTTAATATTTCTTATGGATGCAAATAAATTAGTGAAATGAATAAAACTCATTTATTTTTCTATGTAGGTTTCCAAATGATATTGATGATCGAACTATTTTGGTAGCAAATTTAGGAGAAAACAAAGATTTTTTATTGTAGCATTATTTTGATACCTATTAAAAATTAACTTGAATTCAACTATATTTTATTGTACTAATTTTAAAGCAAATAAAATTGTATTTTAATTTTTCTATAAAGACGTGATTTGTCAATAGTTAAACTCTCGTTTTTTAAAATTCTTTGAACGTGTTTTTATACATTATTACTACTTCCAATTTTTAAAATCTGAGTAATTACCCGCGAGTAAAAATTCAAGCACGCTTATGCTCATTGCGGAAGCATCACATTCTATCGAAGCTTCAAAACATTGTGTGTTAAAGGTATCTTATTGCTGTGTCACAGCCACCTGGAAGTAAAGGTGGCTGTGGCTGTGCCCTTCTATGTTTATACGTCCATGGATGAGATCAATTTAAGTTATTATTAATTATCACTCCGAGATTGTTGTGGGAAGTTACCTAGTTTAAGATATGTCCATTAATAAAGTAAGGTAGTGATAGATTGTTTTTGCTAAAATATAGTACAAACGCATTGCTAAATGTTAAGAAAAGTAATCATTCTGAGGGCTTGAGTGTCAATTGGTCATTCTCCGGCATAACCTGTTAGGCAACCTTCAATTTTATTACAGTTCTATATTCCTATATTGTTATATTTACACATTTTTATTACAGTATTGTGCGAATTAATGGAATCACCGTGAATTTTTTTTCATTTTTTCAATATTCACAGTTGGCAACACTACCTACACAGTTGACAGCTGACCAAGCATTGAAAACATAACCTTACTGTGTGTTGGTGTGTTTTAGTGTGTTTTAGGTCATTTCTTACCAAGCTTGTTTTGTTTTGGGGGTTTTTGTACTATTTTGTGTTGTTTTTGGTTTTATTCCAACATGGATATTACGCCTAGGAAGCGTGAAAAGATTGTCACGTTGAGTGAACACACTAGTATGTCACAAAGAGAGATTGCTAGAACGTGTGGAGTGAGTCAGGGGGTAGTAAGCAAAATTTTGAAGCGTAAACGAGAAACGGGATCAGTGGATGTGAAAAGGTTAGGAAGATGTGGAAGAAGAGAAAAACAACACCAGCAGATGATAGATTTTTACTTCGAAAGAGCAAATTGGACCCACGAAAATCAAGCCAAGACCTACAACAAGATCTAGCAGCATCAGCTATAGTGAATCATGACTCAACTGTTCGTAGAAGACTTTTGGAGAATGGTAGAAGGGTAATTCGTCTACAGAAAAAAACAGCTTCTAACTGAACGAATGAAGAAACAAAGGCTACTATGGGCCAAAAAATACTCTAATTGGACTGTAGATGACTGGAAAAAAGTCCTATTTACAGATGAAACCCACTTTATAGTTCAGGGACAGCGGTCGAAATTCGTCAGGAAGTCTGACAATGAAAAGCTTACAGCATCTCATATTGATCAAACCGTAAAACATCCAGTCAAGAAAATGTTTTGGGGATGTTTTTCATACATGGGGGTAGGATCTTTGGTGCCAATTGAAGGCATGATGAACAGCCAAAAATACAAATCCATGTTGGAAAAGTATTTGGACAAAAAACTCCAAAAATGTCAACCCCAAGGAGGAGCGATTCTTCAACAGGACTCTGCTCCCTGTCACAAATCAAAGGAAATGATGGCATTTTTCAAAAATAAGAAGATTAATGTTTTAGATTGGCCCGGTAATTCGCCCGACCTCAACCCCATTGAAAATTTATGGGCCATTTGCAAAGCTAGACTGCGAAAAATCGACTGTACCACTAAAACAAAAATGATAGAAGCGGCCATTCAGGTTTGGTATCGAGACGAAAGGATATCTGACAACTGCCAGAAACTCATAGAATCCATGCCAAAACGGGTAAAAGCAGTAATTGCTGCCCAAGGGGGCATATTTCCTACTGAATGATGTAAGTTTACCTTTATAGTTTTGTCAAAATATAATTTTTTACTAAATAAACTGTTTTTTCATTAAAACAGCCTATGATTCCATTAATTCGCACAATACTGTACATTGCTCTATACTATTATCTTCATATTTTCTAATTTTGTTAGGCGCTCGTTTAGCGTGCCACTTACACATACGTTTTGTTAATAGAGAGCTTACAACTGTTAGATGCATACTTCTTATTTGACCCACTGTTTTGTCGTTGTTATTAGTGTAATATCAATCAAATAATACTTATTTCTTCAATATTACATCATTATGTTTCCATTTTTGGAATTTCTATGCTATCTTTTCTGATTTGAATTGTTATATATAATATATTTTATGAAACGTTTTAAAAATAAAAGTATAAATAAATATCAGTGTCATTATTTTAAACAATATAGAGCAGTTACAAATATTTAGTACTTAATAATTTGATTTGACTCTAACATTTCGAAATTCGACAGCACAGGTTTAATTTCTCTAGGAGCATAAAGAGCAAAGCTCATTTATTTAAAGATACTTTCTACTTTGTCTTCTCATGTCTTTTTAGTTCAAACTAACAAGACTGGGGAAATTTGCTAATTAATTTATGTTGTAATACATCACTTACGAAACTCCGTTTTCGGAAATAAACTTTGAGAACGTTTCCGGATAGAAAACATTATATAAACTACTCACAGTCAGGAGAAAAAAACTTCTGCAATAAAATCACCAACACAATAAAAGGAAAAACTTTCTCTTCTGCTCAATACTCTAAAGGAGTGCTCCACTAGTTTTTAATTATCTAATTAGAATGCTGGTTTGTAAGAATATTGGTAGAAAACTAAAAGCTTAGATAACTTTTTTGTTTATTTATGTGGCATGTTTATTATAAAAGTGTTATTAACACTTGGAATCACTTTTTTGATAAGGAGCTTCATGATAATGTAGTAAAATGTCAAGAAGTTTTGTATACCTATTTAATCTTTACTAGTATCAAGTTATTACGAATGAACTGAAAAAGTGATCACTGGAAACTCTTTTCGACAGAAATGAAACATGATTTTTACGGTCTAAAAAAGGAAATATGGCGCTTCATAAGAGGTTAGGAACAGAATTAAAGGAGCTAATAGAACCAAACCACATAGAAAAGGATAAACGGATTGACTACCTAAAAAGCTCCATGCAGAGTAAGAACAAATGACGCTATGAGAGGAAACACCAGAAATTACCACAAATGAAGAACTTAATATAAATGTACAGGAAGTTCGGAAAATAGTTGAAAAGCTGAAGAACAGAAAAGTAGCAGGTAAAGATGGGATACCAAAATGAGTTACTGAAATATTGTGCAGCAGCGATGATAGAACAATTAACAACAATTATTAATGAAATTATAAAATACAATAAAATACCGGAAGAACGAAGAACGAGCGCACTAATTCTGCTATTCCAAAAAGGAGATAAAAAACAGCCAGAAAACTACAGAGGTATAAATTTGTTAAATACTACGCTGACAGGTAACAGGTGACATGTGACATACGTCAATAAATGTTTAATTTTTTTCCTAAACCATTTTGTTTATTTCTCCTAACTAACTATCTAACCCCTTTTTTGAGTTTTATTTAAAAAGATATATTTTTCATTTCTAGTATATCTGATATATCATTTCATTTTAAATAGCTAGTGGATTTTCTTGTGTTTTGTCCGTTTGTCCAGGAGACTCATGTAAGTACTCCTTTATTTATTGTTCTGATGCTATTTTCTTGTGGCATTTTAAATTAATTTTTCCAGC